TTTCACCGGGACTGAGATTTCTAGACCTAGTTACATCGGGGATTGCATGTATCAATTGCTGGCAGAGATCTCGACATTCATCGCATTTCTGCTCCAGTATTTTCAATTTTAGATCTACGGATTCAACATTCTTGCCTCGATGTTTAAGTCCATGTTCCGGATCGTGAGGAGATCCAAAAGCACCCTCAAGCTGTTGTAACCACTCCTCTTGTTGACTTAATTGTAACCTTACACGAGATTCCAATGCTGTGCGCTGTCGAGCCTCTTCGGCTAGTAATTCTTCAAACGATCCGCTCAAACGCGTCAGCGAAGCCTCATGTTCACTTGCTAATGCAGCAAGTATCACGTTTGACGACTGTGAGTCGGACATTCCATCAATTCCAGTCTTACAAGCCGCGTGTTTCTCAATTTCAGCATTTATTTTTGCCGTCAGATCAGCTGTGGCCTGCTGCACCTTTGCATCTACTTCGTCACGAAGCGTCTGTACCAGATGCTTGACTGGACTGTGTTTACCTGGCTTACCCGTGGGAATACCAAGTACCTTTGCAATTTGTGCAAGCTGTGATTGAAAAGCGCTCTGTCTACCTTCTAGCGTCGAGATTCTATCACTTAGCAGCGTCGCGGTTGCTTGATCTACAGGAGCCATTACTCGGGACTTTGCTCACCTCAATTGCCGTTGGAATTGAATGTTTAGACAATTCTAATACCCGATTTTGCAATGTCAGTATCTGCATCGTCATCTCCTCCATTTGCTCCCACATTACGTCGCAATTGCACGTGCACCTTGTCTGATTATCAATCACCGATCCATCTCCAAGACGCTGCTGCTCTGAATTCAATACAAGGTGCTCTAAGGCCTGGACGCGCAACTTGACTTACGGTCCGAAAAGATGTTACATGCTGCTTTGTAGAGGGTGCAAGAAGCTCCGGTGTATTACGCATGGTCGTATGCAAGCTACCAGACAAGTGAGAACTTTTTGAAACATGCGTATCGGCCATAACTGCTGGTGAATGGAATGCCGGCTGAAGATAGGACAAATATGATGGCAACGCTTCTTCTTCTCGCTCTTCTTCTGCTGGTTCTGTACGATTCCATATCGCGCGCGAGCCTGAAGCGCCAATGGAACCGTGCGATGGGGAAGGAGTCGAGTTGGTAAATCCCCAAACAACATCACGCGTAGCGCCTCCTTCATCATCACCCGAGAGATTACGACTATTAAGCCACATGAAAAAGGCTTTAGTGTTAAGATAGACAAGTAAAATTTAGACTACTGGCTCCGAAGTAAAGAAGCTTAAAAATAGTATTGGGAATAGTTAAAGCAAGAAGACATGTATATAAAGTGATCGTCACATGGCTCGTTTGTCTAATTTCGTTGTCTGGTCTTGCAGCTGTTTTGCTTTAAGCTGAATTAGACGTGATGCTGTGTTTGTAAGTTGCTCCATTGTTCTATATTGCGTGCGTGTTAATTCACCGCGAGCGGTTGAGTCCGTACAGCATAAGGTACCAACAGGGATATCAAATTCATTTCCTGAATCGTCAATCTTGGAAACAAGAACGGGAAAGCCTACGTAAAAACGGATCGAAAGTGCTTTGACAGGCATGATTTTATGAAAACGAACGTCAGCTTCTGGATGTGTTGCTACGAACGGACTTGTCGTCATAATTGTATGTTGACAAATTGTTTGTTCTCGAGGCACGACCGCATGTTGAAAGCCAGGGTTTGTAGTAGCCAAAACGTGATTATGATTGATACCCATAACAGTCACAAATGCATTAGAGCAGTCCATAGCACGCACTGCTAATTGACATAGCAAATCAAGGTCCCGCACATCACAGACCTGATCAATAGATATCGAACTTGAGTCCAAAGGTGCCAATTGGTGGGCAAGTTGTAACAGACCTTTATCATTGGCAAGTCGAAGACGGACATTGTCATGGCTTGGTATCACGCTAGATGGTACCATTGTACTTGGGTCAACTGGTAAGTCAATAAGATATTCACGATGCTCTGCACTAGTCAATTTACAAGATGCTACATCAGGCAACTGCTCCTTGTTTCTAAGAAACTTGTCGAGCACTTGCATAGTTACGTGATCAGAATCATCGTAGTCACTGGAGTCTTCATCATCACTAGAATATTCTTTATTCTGGTGCAGTAACATCCGAATAACTGATAAAATGGCAGCACGATCGGCATGATCAGTCGATACATTCATCAACGATGCTTGTAAAAAATCTATCAGCAACGGAGCTGCCGAATCATCCGATGGATCTTCGACCACCTTCACCGGGCCGTGATGGTACCGACTATCGGAGACTTCTGAATAATCGCAAGCTTGCACATTCGCGTGGCATCGCGTACAGACGACAATAGCTACGACACGACCGACTGTGCGTTCCATGTACTCTGCACTCCAGCAATCAATGCAAACAAGATAGCCACAAAGATAACAACGTCTTGTGTCCATCTTAAATGATCGCAGTCTCTTTTTTGCGAGCACAGACGCAGCCTTAAAAATGGACATCTTGACGGGCGCAAGACTGTGTGTACAACATGGACAGCGCGAATTCGTTGTCTGAACGGTCTCAAAATTGACTGGTACCTGAACACCAAAGCGCCTGCGTCGAATAAGCTCTGGAAGGTTAGTAATACCATGTGCTAGCGACAATAAACGACGTTGTCGGGCTTTAGTTGCTGACAATTCGTTTGACTGAGAGCTGGACGTGCTCGAATTTGACATTGCGCTCATTCCAGAGCTCCATCGCCGACTAGCGGTACAATCTGACTCAGTAGGTCCACTTTTCGTACTCAACCCTTCAACTTCGCTCGTTGGGTCTTCAAACCAAGCATTGTACACAACACGTAGACCCTTACGCTCCGGCAGTTGTTCAACTAAATATGTCGCATTAAGCCCGTGAAGTTGATT